CATCAAAATTAGTAATCTGGGATCCAAGTTGCTCTCTCAAATATTGGAATATAAATGTAATCTTTTCTATTATTCAAAAAACAATAATACATTGGACTATTTCTTAATTTATCAAAAATACAAAGAGATGTTCACAAAGCTCCTTCCAAATTTTCCTTCAATACCAGAGGATGCCTTCTATAAATTAAAGTCAAAATTCCATTTAAAATTCCCATTATTGACAGGAACATCACATCTGAAGTAGCCAGATTATTATACTTCTATTTCAAATTCTCTTTTCTTTTAGAATCCTACTTTTCCATCTTATCTCCCTTACCTGTAACCCCAAGGACCTTTCAAAAAATCTCTCTTATCACTTATTAATTAGGAAAAAAAGTGATCTCAAAAATCTAGACTCCAAAATAAGAGAAATCAAAAGGTTTTTCACAATTCTACCCAAAATTCTATAATCTTACTTTGATCTTCCCTCTCCCAAATCTTCTCTACTACTTGATCTCGATCAATTGAACCTTGAATTTGGATAGTACTTCTTACTGGACACCACAGTGCATGACATAGGATCAATAATACATAGTCTCAGAATCAAATACTATTACAAACATCTTCCATTCTATTTTTTTAAGCAAAAAAAGTTCACTGCCACACAACCCCATTCAATTCAAGACATCCTTTCTTCATTAAATATACAAGTTCTTACAATTAACAAAAACGATACACAACTATTAATCAAATATCTTAAATAAAAATTCTTCTTCTTACTTTCTTTAGATCTCTAGTGGATCTCATCAACAATTTATCAAACAGACAAATCTAAACTTCCAACAAATATCCAAAAAATAGATCTGTTGTTTAATCTTGGCCAATTTATTTTCAAGAATAATAAACTAAAACATTTAATTAAAAGACTTCACCATATATACAAATTCCAAAAGATTCCCAATAAATGGTTCCAAGCACTCCTACTACTACTATCAGATAACCCAGCAGCTATTAATCAAGTTCTTAAAAAAAAGAGACATTTCCTTAATTAGCATTTCTCTACATAATTATGACTTTTTCTTAATCAACATAATTGAACTACACAAGATCTTTCTCTTTAACAAACTTCCCAAATTTCTAATTATCAAAAAGATACTTCCAGAATCAGAGTTCGCTTTTATCTCTTTCTTATATTAAATTATTTAGGATTACAAACAATAATCATAGTATTGATTTGATTCACAATTACAACTTCTCCATATTATCACATCTCAACTTACCTACTTTTTATCACAATACAACCCAACATTTCACTATCAATTTTTCCATCCAACCAAAACCCATTACAAATACAAACAGTATCAAAAATTTTATTACATTCACTATTATCAATACAATAGGTCTCAATAATCCTGTCAAACTAAGAGCTCTTGTTAACATTACAAGCAAAAGATCTATTACTTTATGTATAAAAACCAAACTTAAAAAAAAAAACTTTTATTTTAAAAATATTAATGGCAAATGTCTAATTTACAAAGAATCTATTAACAGGAAAAAAATAGTACTTTATTAATTATTGGAAAGGACCTAACTCCCATGTATTGAAAATTTGCAATAAATCAGAATATTTAAAAATAGAATAAATATCTTGCTCTCAGCTATATATCTTCCTTATGATAGAAAGGAAAGAAAACTAGCCACCAAACAAATATATCAAGCAACCAAACTTGCTATTTACTACAAACTTCATTATATAATAATGAAAGACTTTAATTTATATTTCAAAAACAGCCCATCCATTAATGCTTTAACCTTATTTCTTAAACAATTAATTTATAAACATCTTGTCAACCACATAAGCATTGGCCAACAATTTAATGACAAGATATTTACACATATTACTGCCATTAGTGCCTCTCACATCGATCAAGCATGGGTCTCCAGAAACCTTGCTGTCAAAGTAATCTGGTATAAAATGAAAGACTGCAATGTAATTTCTATAGATTACTACACAGTCTCAATCAAACTTGACTACTTTGAATTTAAAAAGTCCAAACCCACTTTCAGATATAGTATTGACAAAACCTTCAAAGAAAATATAATAGAATTTACAAATGAACTGGACTTTTGAACCAGTTTTCTTTTATCACCAAATTGGGAAGACTTTGATAACATCTATAAGAATACATTAAACAAGTATATTAAGAAAATTCAAACTAGTCTAACATAAAAAGACCACTGTACAAATGCCAAAAAAAAACTCAAGAAACAAATAAGAAGAATCAACAGAGCTATAATATAACTCAAAAATTATCAAATACCCTACCTTTTATCCAAGAATTGGAAATCCTATATATAGCATCCAATGGTCACAATAACTTATCACTAAAAGGTCTTCAAAAACTCAAAAAACTCCTAATTAAGGAAGCTTTATTACAATCTCAACAAAAATACTTGGATGAATACCAGTCAAACTTCTAAAGCATAGTTGAAAACTTCTATAGTAAACCAAAGAACTACATTAAAAAAGCACTTGGCTCAATAAAGCCAAAGCTAGATCTTCATAAAATTTATAATAACAAAGATCAAATAGAGAATGATTTAGACTGTATATAAATAATCATCAACAAATATTTTCAAAATATCCTTCAAAGCAGAAGCTTTGACTTAGATCAATTTTCAGATTGACATCAAGAATATTTCATTAAGCAAGTTGATTAAGAAATTTATAGCAAAGTCATTCAACCTTTTGACCAAATAATAATCCAAGACAAAATTAGCAAACTACTTAAAAACAAAGCTCCAAGAAATTCTGAAGTTAGTTACAATATCATCAAACTATTAAACAAGAAAATCATTCAACACATATTTTCCATTTTTAACCAGATTCTTTTATTCATCTCTATTTTTAAATATTAGCAACAAACAACTATTACTTTTATTCTCAAAAAGCTCATCTGGAGCCACAAACTTAATAACACAAGACCCATATTTTTTATTAATTCAATCAAGAAAGTATTCACCAGCATAATTAACAAGAGATTAATCAAGACCCTCTAATCAAACAATATTCTTTCAGAACTCAACTTCACTGGCCTTTCAAACCAAAGTACAATAGAACCTCTAACAATAGTCCACCTTGCCTTAAATGCAGCCAACACAAACAATAAAGAATTCTGGTTTGCATCACTAGATATTGCAAAAGTCTTTGATTCAGCACCTATACCAGCTATTAAAAAATTATTCGAAAGAATCAACTATTCTATAACTATTATCAGCCTACTCATCAATCTTCTTAACAATAGAAAGGTTTTTATTAATATACCATTTGGAGCAACAGGACTCTTCACAGTGAACAATGGAAAATAACAAGGAGAGATACTATCTTCTATTATTTGAATAATATTTTATAACTCTCTTGTCTCCAAATTAGCTAGCCACAAGTCCATTAGAAGTTATACCACTTCCAATGCCCTGGCATATATGGACAACTTGGCTCTTATCACTAATAGCAAACCATTAATGAAAAACCTTCTCTCAACAGCTAACAAATTTTTTATAATAAATAACATCACCTGCAACAAAGACCAAACCAAAATTATTTTCAACATGAAAGTCAAACATGGCTTCAGTAATTCAATCAAATTTGATAATCATCTAATTCAAATTCTTAAACCCCATGAAAGCATCAAATATCTGGGAGTACTTATCTTCTTCAGAAGTTTACTCAGATCCAATAGAAAGGTTCTCAACCAAACTACAGATAAAATTCTAAAAGAACTCACCAAACACAACTGGAAAGGTAAGATCAAATAACAAATTTGTGACTGGGTTATTATAGGCAAATTTGAATACTTTCTCTTCCTATCATATATTAACAAGTCCATTCTAAACACACTCTAATCTAAAATCAACAAACTTATTAAATCAGCCTATAAAATCATCTCTAGATATTCAAATGCAATCTTATCAACCATAGTGGTCTCAACATAACTCTTCTTAAAGAAAGACAAAGATTCCCACTTATTGGTAACTTAATATCCAAACTCTCCATATCAACAACCAGAAAATATATTCTCTAAGACCTGCAATCAATCTAAAAAAATAAATCAATCTGGTTCTGCCCAATCTGCGATTTAGAGAAGTTTAACCAGGATAGCTGGATCACATACATAGCCAAAATTGTAAAGGATCTCAAAATTCATATCTGTTTAACTGATTGCTCAACACGTCTTAGCAATACTGAAAACTTCATTGGCTTCATATTCAAAAGTCTATTTGTTTCTAACAAAACTATAGCAATTAATATAGCAAATGTCCTAAATATCAAATTTATTAATCAACTCTTGAAATACAATAGCATAGAAAAGCTCACATGACTTTAACTCATATCATACACAAAAATAGTATGCTGTGGACCTGAACTTATTTGATTCAAAGATTTCAACAATCCAAACAATCTTCTTGGAACTTATGGCCCAGTATATAAATATTGCTGAAATTTGTAGATTCTTGACACAATTGACACAATTATTTGACACAATTATTTGAGTTACTATTAAAACATATAAATAATTAAGTCATGACACAATTATTTTTGAGGATTTTGAGAATTGAGTCAACAGCAAAATAATTTACATCACATATATAGTTCCGAATCCAAAATTGGCCTATTATAATAAAGTCTGCTATACTATATGAATAATTGTTTTTGAAGGCGGACCGGAAATTTTCTGGCATGATCCTAAAATTTATATTATATATGTATTGTTTAAAAGTTGGTTCTGAAAAAATCATATCTAGTATTTTTGTTGCCTTCAAAAATAATTATCCATATACAGTATGTATTAACATTTATATATTGATATACTGTATATACCATGAAACAAAAAAATAAAGATATTATCATATCAAAAACCATAAAAAAACAAAAGGCTCACTGACGACAATTCAGAAGAAAGAGATATGCCTTGCATTAATTCAGAAACCATGACCTAAACAAAATAACTTGGTGGAGCAGTATGGAGTTGTGCAAAATACAATTTCTGATATTTGGTGCAATAAAGATAAATGGCTATCTATTAATAATGATGCACCTTTATCTAAGAAAAAGAAAATCTGACTCTTATCCTATACTTAAATTGAATCTGCATTAGCTATCTGGCTTAATATAGCAGTTAACAACTATATTATTATCGCTACTGATATTCTTAAGCAGAAAGCAAAGGATTTTGCTGTTTACTTTGACATTAATTATTTTATGGAGTCAGCTGGCTAAATCTCAGGTTTTAAACATTATTATAGTATATAGTCATACTTAAAATCTGGTGACGGGAATAGTGCTCCTTAAGAAAGTCTCAAAGAAGAATGTGCAAAGTTGCATGACATAATAAGTAATTATGATCATCAAGACATATTCAATTGCAATGAGACTAGTAAGTATTTATAATATTAATTTATTCTTACCAGCTATTATTTACAGGTTCTATTGTGTAGCATTACATTGGCAATTGGAACCTGATCAAAGTTTGGCAACAAAACTATTAACAGGTATTAAGAAGTCTAAAAATTGTGTGACAATTTTGTTGACGTGTAATATATTAGGAATCGAGAAACTTTCTCCATTGTTTATTCACAAGTATAAAACTCCTTGCCCATTTTGTGAAATTGATAAAAGCTCTCTAGAAGTTGAATATTATTGGAATTCCACAGCCTGGATGCAAACTAGCATTTTTAATAATTATCTTAAAAATCTTAATAGTTTAATGAAAAGACACAATCATAATATTCTGCTTTTAATTGATAATGCTCTGACACATATAATTTCAAATATTGAAAATCTAATAAATATTAAGCTTCATTATTTGCCACCTAATATAACTGCATATCTGCAGCCATGCGATGTAGACATAATTTATTCTTTCAATTTAATTGTTGTTATTAATTGAAATATAAACCAATTTAATTAATTTGTATTTAGGCACAATATCGACAATTATTAGTGAGAAATAGAATTGATGTATACAAATGATCTACTGAACTTCAAACAGCCATTATGCTGATTAATATTTTGAATACAATTAATTTTTGTGTTGAAGCATAGAAATTAGTTAAAGAAAATATAATTAAAAATTGTTGGTGTAAAACTGGTATTTTATTAAATTCAGGGAAACTGTTAGCAGAAATCGAATCAGATATTGAGAGTATTTAACAATTAATTGATAAACTAAACTTTAAAGAACCAATGATAACAGAAGAATATATTAATGTTGATAATAATGTAATGACTGGAGGAAGCCTAACAGATGAAGAAATTGTGGAAATGATATGCTGAATCTGAAGAACTTAATAAGAAAATAACAGTTTAACCTATTGTATTGATTAAAGAAATGTTAAAAGGTGTTAGTAATGCAATAGAATTTTTGATAAATCCTCCTGAGGATTTTACTTCTGATATTAAAATAATATTATAATTGCATAAAGTACAAAGTAAATTGTGGACTTATTATATGTCAAAGAAAAAACAATCAACAATAGATAGTTTTATTAACTTATAAGTATATAATGAAATAAAAATCCATATTTCAAAATAAATATGATTATTATTTAATTTTTTATAAGGTTTTTATAAACAATATAATTATAAAGAGAGCTCTAATTATACTGATAAACTTGTTATACCGATACAAATGGCCAGTGCTATTCATATCAATATAAAGAGGTTTGACTATATGTAGGACAAAAAACTAAATTACAATTCTATACTACCAATCAAAAGGAACAAAAAGAAAAGGTCAAATGATCAGAATCAGCCAAATAATTTAACCTGTGATCAAATAAAAACACTACTCAACCAATGGAAAAAGAAGACTCATTTGTTCATTATTAACTTTCTCTAGTACAACTTATTTCATCCAAGACAAAGAAGCCAAAAATGAAATCTCAATCATTTGTAGTTGATAGGCTTACACCATATAATATTTCTGAAGATATTCTCAAGTTACAATCAAGTGCTACTGTGGAACAAATACTTTAATATTCCAACTAATGAAAGAATCTTGTCAAGATCCTCAAGAGATCAAAAAAAACAATTGAAACCAATTATCTTCAATCAGAAAATGACTCCAGAAAGACTTCATTGACTAAATGCTATGTCAGAATCAAAGAAAATCATGTGATTGCCATTCTTGATTCAGGAGCTGCTGTCAGTATTATTACAAACAAACTGATGCATAAATAAGGATTGAAACCAGATACTCTATCCAAAACTATTGTAATTACTGCTAATAGAAACAGAGTCTGTCCATTAGATCAGATCACTAAAGCTCAAATCTGTATTCAAGATTTAATTATTCTGATCAAGCTTCAAGTTATTGAATCTCAAGAAGAAACTCTTCTTTTAGAAATTGATTGGTTCCAAAAGATGAGAGCCAAGTAAAATTTTGACTTCCAAACCTTACAGATCAAACATCAGAACAAAACTGTCAAGATCGCAACTACTCACTTCACTGATGAAACATCTCAGTACATTACAAATTCAGAAAACAGTGATGATAAACTTGAAGAAATTGAGTATGATGATAAAGATTTGGAAGAACAAGAGATCTACTACTCTAACCATGCTAAAAGAAATAAGAAGCATAAAGGACATAAAGAACTTGAAGCCCATATCCAAGAAAATCTAGCAATCTACTTCTTTGATCACATAATCAATTAAGAAACAACATTCAAAATTAATCTAATAACTGATGAACAACAAGAGACTGTTAACCAAATTATAAAATGAAGATGTGTTTGTAGAACATATTTTTAAAGAAGAACAAACTCAAGATCTAGGAAGAATCACAGTAATTATATATTTAATTAATACAGGAAATGCAAAACCCATCAAGCAACGTACATACAGAACATCACCAGATCAATAAGACTTCATCAAAAGTGAAATTGATAAAATGTTAAAGAAAGGAATTATCAGTTCTACCTCCAGCCCTTGGGCATCTCCAATTGTAATTATATCAAAGAAGAATGGCAAGAAATAATTTTGTATTGATTTCTTAAAATTAAATGAAGTTACAGAAAAAGATATCTATCCTTTTCCAATAATTGACAACTTTCTAGACTCCTTCCAAGATGCCAAATAATTTACTTGTCTTAACTTAACAAGTGGATATTGGCAAGTAGCCATGAGTGATAAAGATAAAAAGAAGATTGCTTTTATCATGAAATATGATTTCTATGAGTTCAATGTTATGCCTTTTGGATTGTACAATGCTCCTGCTACTTTCCAATATCTCATGGATAAACTTCTTGGACCCTATAAAGGAAATTTTGTTAAAATATATTTGAATGATATTACTATCTTTTCCAAAACATTTCAAGATCATTGTAACTATGTAAACATCATTCTAGATGTTCTTTACCAAGCAAACTTAAAATTAAATATGGAAAAGTGCCACTTCTTTTTTGCCAGTGTTAAACTTTTTGAAACATGAAATCAGTTGTGATGGAATTATGCCAGATAATGACAAAATTATCAAAGTTAGAGACTTCCCAAGACCAACAAATGTTAGACAACTTAGAAAATTCTTAGGATTAGTATTCTATTACCGAAAATTTATTGTCAACTTCTCAACTATCGCCAAACTATTAAATGAACTTTTGAAAAAACAAGTACTCTTTAAATAAACTGAAACACAAGAAAGAGCATTTTAAATGCTAAAATAATACTTAATTTCTGCATCAATCTTGGGATATCCCAATTTCAATCAACTATTTTATCTCTATACTGATGTTTCTGGTACTGGATTAGGAGCATTACTTGCCCAACGAGAAGGAAAACAAGAACATGTCATTGCATATGCTAGCAAAAGTTTAACTAAACCTGAATAAAACTATTCTACTACTGAACAGGAATGTTTAGCAGTTATATGGGCTGTTAAACATTTCTATCAATATCTTGAAACTAATCACTTTTATCTGATAACTGACCACTCTGTTCTTCAATGATTAAAAACATCTGAACTCAAAGAAAAAAGAGCCAGATAGATCTTATATCTAGAATCCTACAACTACACTATTATTCACAGAACAGAAAGAAAGCACAATAATACTGATGTCATGTCATACATGTATGAAACAGAAGAACCTATCTATATGCTTTAAGAAGATGATAATAATTGGAACTCTGATTATAGTTTTGCAACTGCTAATTCTGTTGTATCTTATGATTCTCATCAAGAAGAATCACTTTACAAAGTCAAATGATTTATTGCAAGAAGATACTGCCCTATTTACAAGGAAAGAGCTAAAGACCATCATATCTATACCTTTTGCAACTAATATAAGAAATTATCTGATTGAAACAAATATTCTTTTAAAAATAAATGTGTCTATAAAAGAAAACAAAGAGCAGATAATGTTCAATCAAATAATAACACAATCCACTCAAATTATTTTAAATGAAGTTTGTCCCTATTCTTTTCCAAAAAAAAAAATTCAACATCAACTTTGTGATTATAACTTTTATCAAATTCCAAGAACAAGATTAGATAATGAAGAGTTTAAAGAACAAATCCAATTGTCTAATGATTACTAGTGGTTACCAAAACTTGAACAACTTTTCAAACAATATAGAGAAGAATTCAATAACTATTTCAAAAATTATCTTTGCAATTCAGTCTGATGGATGGATACCAATCCTGTTACTTACTATTAAAACCTTCTTGAAAAAACAATCAAAGAAATCTGACATAAAATAGAATTCAGATTAGGTAGTTAATGTCCTGGCATCCAAACTTTAGCAACATGGAAACACAACAATATTACCAATTGAAAAATTATATTCTTAACAACAAACTGCCAACAATCACAAAACAAATTTTTCAAAGTTAAAAACAATCAACTTTACAAAAAAGACAGAAGAAGAAAAATCCAAAACCAACTACTCAAAGTCATTCAAAAACATGAAATCAAAGCAATACTCTATTTGATATATAATTACCCTACTGATACACACTTAGGAATTGACAAAACCTTTGAGAAAATTCATAATCAATACTACTGGCCACAGATGTTTGAAAATATTAAAGACTACATCTGATAATATAATCAATGCCAAAAATGTGGAAAATACAGAACACCAGGACTTTTGCATCCCATTCCTGTTGGAGAACTATTTTCCAGAATCAGTATAGACATTGTAGGACCTTTACCAATTACCAAACAAGGAAACAAATATATTATTATTGCAACAGATTACTTCATCAAATGGCCCAAAGC